AAAATGTCTACAGGTGCAGTGATGGAGCCAAGAGTGCCTTTGGAATGGAATGATTCTTTCTGGTGATCAAGATAGATCACAATAACTGTTATATCATCATGGAAATAGCGCCTAATCCCCTTTTCTATCTTCAGGATGTCCTTGTACCTCATCTCCCTCTTCTTGGCAGCCTCCTGAAGGGCTGCTCGCACCAGTCTCTTAGCTATTCCCTGCAAGTACATCAACCAAATAAACATACAAGTCATAATGGGAATGACTCATATCTTAACTACGACTTCTACAAATCAAAGAACTGGTTTCACCAAAGCAGGATGAGCTATACAAAAGTAAAAGTAGCAAAATTTCAATCCATGACAGGTTACACATACTCAAGCTTGCATCCAGGACTGCAGTGACGACTGAGCATAGCTAGAAAGTTGGCTGAAATATCACTGACTACTTTTAATGCCATGTACACTTTGACCCAGAGGTATATCTATGATATAAACTCGACATGTTCAACCTTTAAGTTTCTTAGCACTAAATTGAACTTATAGAGAAGTTGAATGGTTTTAAACATATATAATTACGTTCCGTGATATCAACTTAACCCATAGATTTTAAGCTCCAACCACCTCTGACTTTACCACTATGCATAAATGCAAACATTTCCATTAGTTCACCAGGAGACAAAGGTGAAACAATTCGAACTTACAGCTCTTGGGTTTTTAAATACCATCTCCACAGCTGATTGATCACTTAATTGTTCCCAGAGGCCATCAGAAGCAAAAATAAGGAATAAGTCATGAGGCCTAATACTTCTTGTAACAATTGAAGGTTCTGCTGTCAATACAGGCCGCTTCAGAGGTACAAAATTCCCATATCGTTGGAAGATAGGATCCCTGTTAAATTCAGGTTTCTTCAAGTAGGCATCCCCAATAGATCTTGAGACCTGCAAATTTAGATGTATAAGTTAGCATCGTCTGAGATCTCCAGTAGACCACACAAGACTGAAGAGAAAACGGACAAATGACTACAAATATTCCTTGTTACGTTCCTAGAACAATTTCCCTTGCTTTTATCAGCAGAAAACATACAGAATCTACGTCTAATAGTTAGATAACCATCACAGGAACCCAGAGCCATTAAAATCACGACTCATTGCTTTATAAAATCTTCATGGGCATCTCATGTAGGGAACACAGACTTCCTCTAACTTGAACTAGGTGAAACAGTGGATCAAGAGGCATAGCGTGTGATTCCTGGAAGAGTAGGAAGATATAGAGCCTTGAGAAAACGTACGACAAAGATAAACAGAAAATTCCTCTCGGTATGCACACAAAATGATATGGAGCATAATTACCACAGTTCATGTTCTGAAGCCTAAACTTTCGCAAGTCATACAATATACACAACTCATCTCATAAATTCAGGGCTCAGCAATTATGAACCTGACTGAAAGAGAGTAAAATATAACCAACAGTACGACCATCGGAGGTTAGAGATAAGATTTGTGCAAAATAAAGATGAACCTAATGATGTATAAGGAGGCCTACAAAAGATATAAGTACTACTAGATAAGTCGGAACAACGTGAAGTCAGCACTGAGCAAAGTAAAAGCGCAAAAATTATATAACCTGGACTATTCAGATAGAACATCATTCCCACCTGGAAAGTTCAAATTTCACATTACTCCAAATAATACATATTCTCACATTCAGAACACAGATATAACAACTTCAGTACTCATCAACTGAAAAAACAAGAAAGATCACCTGAATTATGCCTTTAATTCTCCAAACACCTCGAATATGTACCACTATATCCTGATCATCAGGATGAAGTGATTCAACTTCTTTCCGCACTTCCTCACATGAAACATTGTGATCAGTTGATAACCTTTCTGCAACCACAGAATTTTTTTCCGCATCAAAACCTCTGCGTCCTAGAACTGCCCTAGAATCTCCTAAATTAGCCACATACAATTCACCCTCAGAAATTGCACCAACCAAACAACATGATCCAACAGAGGCAATTTTTGGCATTGCAGGTAATGATCTCTTCACCAATTGAATAAAATCCTCTTCTGTAGCATGAAATGCACTCTTTATAACATCAGACGACAAACCCCCTTGCTCTTTCGAAAACTCTACAAATTCAAAACCAAAATCCCTCATAAAAATCATCAACGGAAAACGATCCTTGAGCGAAAATTGCAGAAACAATTCGTGACCCACAAAAGAATACAACAGGAAAAACTGAAAAATCACGCCAAAACAGAAGAAAACTACGCACTAAGCAAATCAGAGAAGAGGGGTCTGTATAAATGAACGAACTTAAAAGCAGAAATTTCAGAAACAAAGATGAAAACGGCACTAAAACTTAAAAATCAGAAGAAGAAAAAAATAACGTACTATGCAAATACGAAAAGAGGTGTCTGTTGACAAAACGGGAGGCTTCAGGTCCACCATGTCCATCATAAACACCAACATAGGTAGCAGAAGGAGAAGTAAATACTTGACTTTGGTCTTCAAGAGAAGAATTAGCTTGAACGACGGCGATAGAGAAGTCGCCGGAAGCATGTGGCTTTAAGTCCATATGCCATAAAAGACCATCTCCGTTTATCCTCTCAAAACACCTCTCCAATGGCCTATAACACGATCGCATCATCATACTCTTCTCTCCGATAATCCACAATTTTGCAAAAGGGATTCGTTGAGACAAAAGTATCGAAAAAAGTAGGCTATTGTAATTCGAAAAGGAACAAGTAAAGAGGGCCTTCACGCGTTTCTCTCTATATTTATATACCCAACTACTCCAGCAAACAACACACACTACTTCTGGAACAATTGATTGTTCATTTTGTATTTTTTTTGCTAGTGTGACTGATAATTATTTTATTAAAATTAATTCTTTTTATAATTTAATTACTTTTAATTACAAATTGAATGACATTCTTTTGAAATGAATTGATACAAAAATTGAAACAGAGTACAATGTAGCTGACTCAAATGTTTATTGGTTATTTAATGATAAAAAAGAATTATTTATTTTCCTTTTAAATCTATTTTAAAGAGAATATTCTTTTTTGATTTTGGCAGTATTTTAATTTCTATTTTTTTTAAAGCATGTTTAAGACAAAAAAAGAAATTAATGGAAATTTTTATATCAATTTAGGATTATAAGATTATATTTTTTATTTATTTTATATTTATGTCAAGTTAAATTAAGTTATTCTTTTTAAACGGAGAGTATATTATTTTACTAGCTTTTAAGTTACATGAGTTTGTAATTAAAAAAAGTTATTATACTAATTATTAGTATAAGTTAATTTAAGTTAATTATATAAAACAAATGTATTACACTATTATACATTAGTGTACACAATTTATTTATTTATTTATGTAGAAACAAAGCAAACTGTCAAATAACTAACTATGGAGATGAAGTTTTAGGCAAGCTTTCTTTCTATCCGTGATTTATGTGATTAATAATCTGCGACAGAACAAATGACTTAAAATATTTATAGTTGATTCTTAAATTAATTATTATATTTCATTTTAGAAAAATAAACTATATTAATTTTTTTACTAATATTTTTAAATGTATTTTTTATAATATTGAAATGAAAAAAGTTGCACCATAAAATGTTTTTTTTACTGTATTTGAACTTGAAAATTTTAATTTTATGACTTATTTTATTGATCTAATTCAATTTTAACCATAAAAATTATGTTAAATTGACTCTCTTAAGTGAAATATGATTATATAGAAGAAATTTTTATTCATTTTGTCAGTTTACACCATTTACTTCTTTGTCACGTTTTTTGGTCATATTGTTTGATGCAATTGGATATTTATGAGTGAAGTCAGAAGTCAAGCTAAGGCAGTTGGATTTTTGGTAACAAAGCACGTTGTATGTATTACCAAATAATTTGTTTAATATTTATAAAGGAATTGATCATAGTTACGTATAATTTGTAAAATATCCAAACCATTTGGTAATAAAGCATTTTATTCTTTTTTATTAAATATAAAATAAGACTTTTTCCCTATGTTTCATTTTGATTGACAATACTTTTTAGTAGTTCATTAAAAAAAATAGATATGTTTTATATTTATTTGTTGATAAAATCATAATTTTAAAAATCTTATAATTAGACAAATATTTTTTAAGATTTAAGACCACATGCTTTAAAGGTTTTTCTCCTCTTCTTTTCGCAAATTTGAATTTGTATCAAATCAAATTACCCAATAAAGGAATAAATGCTTTTGTACATGTGTTATCTCCAATTTCTCTTCATCATTATTATGGATATTTGAATTTGGAATGGAAAAATTCAATTACTTTAAATAAAATAGTAATATCATTTACTTTGGTCTTATTTAAATTATTTTTTTCATGTTGTTCATTAATATTGCAAGCTATAATTACAAGTGTCAAATATTAATCATTAATTCTTAAAATGACAATTGTTTTGAGATAATTTATTATGTAAAAATAATAGTTAAAATAAGACGAAGCGAGTACCTCATATAGATTAGTTTAATTTAGGCATAAACATAATCCAAGACCAACATTCTTCTATTCGTTGGAATCTTCAAAATATATATAATTTTTAAATTCATTGGTCGTTAGATAAATTCGCATGTACAGACAAACAAATTAACGACTAATTGTTTGTCTCAGAATAATAACTGAATGTGTCTGCCTTAATATTTAATTAAATCAATTATATTTTATTGATTATTAAACTGCTGAGGTTTGAGTTCTCGAAATAGAAAAAGATCTTGGTCCATAACTTGAACTTTTATGGACCTTAATCGATGTGTAACTCAAATTAATTGGAACAAAATGAATTAAAAAAAATATCGTGATTATCCATCTGTCATTGAAAAATAATCACCATAAATTCGACAGGTAAAATTTGTCTAGCACTTGCACCACGGCATGGATTGTTGACATAGACTTACACTGTTAATTATTAGTCTTTTTCTAAATATAAACTTACTGATACGAGTAGAAAAAACACATTTAATTCCACCAAATATGGTTACCTTGTCAATTCAAGACTCAAAAACATTGAACAATGACATATTGATAGTTACACGAGACTTACAGACGTTGGGCGTCACCTAAATTCCTTAAGAAGAGACATAATATTACATTTTGACCAAGTCTCACCAAAGCATCACATTTGTAATTTGGAAAACTATCACCAAGGAGAAGGCAAGTAGTTTCCTGTTCTACTCATTTTATTAGAAAACTATCATTCAACCAAACAAAAAGGTCAAAGTCATCAAAAAAGAACTTCACAGAAGAGGTCACCATTCTAGTCTATGGTTGGCTTCACAACCTTCCTATGGCCCTACAAGAAGTTACACATGTATAGCTGCTCGACAATATGGGCAGTCCCCACAAGTTCGTACCCATGGTTCCAAGCAACAAGGGTGATATCTGTGCCCACAAGGTAAACATGCTAGCTTGTCTCCTTCCAAGAAAGCATCCAGACATATGCTACAGTCGATAACCGCCCGGGCCTCTTCCTTGTCTGAGTTACTGTAAACCCCAATATGCAATAAATCCATGGCTTCTTGACTCAGGCCAGGGGGCCTCTTGTTTTCTCTTAACCAGATAAGATGATCAGGGCTGGGGGTAGTTCCAGCTAACCACAAACTAGAATCCGCTTCCCCATCACTGGCATCAGCAAGTCCAAAATCATCCTCAAATGTAAAGTTGTTGCGATGGGAGCTTGTTCGGATCCCGTAACTTCGCCTAGCAGAAGTCAATATCAGCTTTCAATAAACTAGATCAACACTTTTGATGTTCAAATTAAATCGCCAGTGCACATAACAATTTTCAACAGAAGATAAACTAAAAAAGTCTCTGCAGTTTAGCATAGAATGTCCAAGTGACCCACAAAATTAGGGATGGCAATGGGGCAGCGGGACCGTATTTTCAATCCGCCCCCATAGCATTTCTTTCTCACAAAATGAGTGATGGCAATGGGGTGGTGCGGGGCCGATTTTGTCAAACCCACAAATTTTCAATCTGGCCCCCGTAGCATTTCTTTTTATTCTCAACCCGCCACAACCCACTTAAGTTCTTTTTTTTCTTACCTTTATTATTTACATGTACAACTACTTTCAAAGTTTATATATCACCACTGTTATATTTAGAATAATTTACCAATTGATTTAAAACTATTTTATTAGGCTACTAACTAACAAAATTTTCCTCGACAGCTATTTTATGAACCCGCACCATTAAAATGTTTGCTGCTCCTGTATTTGTCAATGCAGCATAGATGGGTGTCCATTTTTTTATTATACAAGGTTGGGACTTTCTTTTCAAGAAAGTGTTTTATCATTTTCTTTATTTAATAGAACATGATAGTTTATAACTTTCAGGAAATAAATTCTTACATTATTTTATGATTGAATATATTACTCTTGCCTGAGGCATTTCGTGTAAATACATTTTAAATGTTCATTATTTGCAAAGTTGGTGCTCCTAGAGTAGCTCAAATGCAGACTGGAAAACTGCATTAACAAATATTGGAGGAGACCCGCAGCCGCGCCACACATAATTTTAAAAAAATCGAGATTTTGACCCACCCTGCCACACACACACAGATTTACCCGCCCCGTCCCATCGCCATCCCTACACGGAATGGACGTACCAAGTTTAGCCAACATAGAACATCCTAAAACAGACAGCTAGACCAACTTTGAATGATATCAAGCGCCAAACTGCTCATGTAAAATGAAAAAGAGGAATAGTCTTCCCAGAATTTTAATCATATTGTAATAACCACCAGAGCAACTTACGAAGACTAGTGAGATATCATGCTAACAAGAAAACCATAATAGAAAACATAAGACTTGTAAGACTGCTGGGAAATTGACATCCTAAAACATGTCGTTTAACTTCTACAATGAGGAGGACCATAGAGGAGGAAGGGTCAGCAAAATCAACTAAACTTCTTACAAACCACTCAACAATGTATAGGAGCAACATATCTTAATAATCCTATGATGAAAGTCCATTCACTACAGGAAACTAACATATCCAGTAATTTTCATCTAAACATATGTTCATTTTAATCAGACAGCTCAAAGTTCATCAAGACCAAGCAATTTCATGTATGCTTCATCAGAAATTTACCCACTTAGAAATGTACTCTTACCCATCTCCGTATTTATTTAATCGAAGGAATTGTGGACATGCAATATCATAAACTACAATGGCCTGCCAAGAGAAGCTCATACTATTGGGTATAATGGATTCAAAATACCAACCTATTTCCAGATATAGATACACCTCTCAATCTCTGTAGAAGTCTTTCCCTTGCAAGTAGTACAGTACCAGGGAGCCGCTCGCTACCTGAGGTTCCCACCCTATCTCGTATCCTGTTATTGTTGTTTGTTGCATGATTGGTGTCTCCTGATGCAGCCTGGCTATTCGCAGAGTCGAGCGAAACAGAATCACGATCCTAACTTGTGAAAAAGGACCAAAATAATTAGCATCAATGTTTCAGGTCACCATCAAAGAATTGAAATCGACCAGAAAAACTAGGTGTTAAGAATTTATAACTCACATCCTACGACATTTTTGACCATCAAATCAGCAATATATGACACTAAACACGAAGCAATGAAATGTAACAACAAAAATGAATGAGCTAAATAAAAGTAATCTATCAATCGATTACAAGAGCACCAAGTACATGCTTGTACCATCTTATAAGTGAACATCAAAGCTGATTAATAAATTGTTTGAGGGGGGACGTAAAGATGTATCACATACATAGAGAAGTACATGCAGCACTATATTAAATATACAGGAGTCATACTTTAAGCACCTTATAATCAGGGTAATCCAGAATACAATGGCCAACACTTGGGCTAGGAAACAACCATTGTCTCGGAAATTCATACAGCTAAACCACACCGGGGCTGGCAAAAGTAAGCTGTCACAACACATTTGCTCGACTCATGCAACAGGGGACTTAATCTCAAAATGGCACACCACATGGCAATAATGACCTCAAAATATTGCCACCAATGGCAGGAATTAATTGGGAATGGAGCAAATCTCTTTTGTGATAACTAATGATGAAAAAAGATCCATATAAGACATATTTGAGATTTCAGCCTAATTGTTGAGTATTATTTTTGGTAGGTTCAAAAAATTAGAAGAAGTAACTATGAAATTGCACAAAAGCTTTATCATTATCGATACATTTACGGCATATCCCATGTTTGCCAGGATTTGTTTTAGCATGACTAGAGATTTGTATGTAGTGTAACGATAAGAATGAAAATAGAACCCTTAACTTTCTTACAAGCCAGACTACTGAGTACTACTAAGCGACGGACTCAAAGCAGATGCATAGAACTGCCCAACTCTAACTAGTTTGTATTTAATGTAGTTGATTGGTTTACTGATAAATAGCAAAAGAACAGGCAATAATTAACCAGGAAACAGAACAAACTTCTTATCATGATCAGTAGAGGAAAGTTAGTATTTTAATGGCATTGTACATAGTCCATACTAATACGGGAACAGGTGCAGATATATATGCCAGCCAAATAAGACTCTAACATTTACAGCAAGAAAATGTTGGATTAACGTAATGCAAGACTAATAATCAAGAACAACAAATCCAGATAATGTTATCCTGCAACCCACAAGTCCATCATCCATATAATCATCATAGGTGTTGAGTGTGATAAGGCAGGTACTATGTCAATTAAACGTCCATATCTGATTGTGGCACAATCTAAAAGATTCGTAAGTCTCCCGTTTGAAAAAATATTGTAGTATTATACAAGAATGCTGTGAACCAATTTATATTACTATCTACATTCACTACCCCTGTATCATATTTCATGTTTTCATCCTTTCCTTGCTTTAACTAACCCAGGCAAGAAATTATAGCTATAAAATGACAATCGGAAAATAAAAAAGGAAAGAATCCAGTGAAATGACAATTGGATTCAGCTAATTAACAATTCTAGTATTTAATATATGCATGTTGATCAATGTGACTCAAAAGCTTGAATATAATATGCCAGCACAACACAACAGATAAAGCAGCACCTAATTTTTTAATATTATCATTCTACAGTCTACACACCAAAAAAAAAAATCCAAAATCTTACAGGAGGCCAACGTCTAAGGCGGTGAGGAGGAGATCGGCGCAAGGGCTCACAATCGTTCACATCGACGCGATCACGGCGGGTATTATTGCCGGTTGGCTGGTGACTGTGATGATGATGGCGGCGATTACGAACGCTGTGGTTGTGAGAATTTCGAATTGTCGATAAATCCGACCCTAATTCGAGATCGCTTCGACCGTAACGAGACCTCCTAGTGAAAAATAGCTCTGAAGCACTCGTCATACAATTACAATAAGGTTTCTTCTAGTCTACCACCTTGCAATGCTCTGAGAATGATGGATATATATATACATACACAAAAAAAATTCACCAGTTATAGGATATTCCATTGAAACAGACAAGAAAAATCTCATACCTTAGGAAGAACCAGCGAAATGAGGAGGAAGAAGCAGATCAAGCGAGTCGGTCTAATTCGGTTACTAAATTGGTCATATGGATGATGCGAAAAAATAAATAAATGGGCTGGGCCTTCCTTACATCATTGACTCATGAGCCCAATGTGTTTATTTGAATTTAAATCAAACTAATAACCTAAATTAAATGGAATAGCTATGGTTTGATTTAATTGTGCTCCATAGCAAACATTAGCTAAAATTTGTCAGCATCTCTCTTCCAAAAATCTCGCTCGCCACTCTCCATTCTCGCTCGCCTCTCTCGCTTTATACACAGAAGTGTATAATTTTGTTTCTGTTTTGTATAAAGCGAGAGAAAATAGTATATACACATGCAAAAATGTATATCTTCGTGTTATACACTTAATATATAATTTACAAACATTTTACTTCAAATATGAAAAAGGCCAACGAATTATACAATTGCAGTGAAATACAATTTTCTCTAGCTTTATACAACAGAAGTGTATATATTGTGTTTGTGTTTTTGTATAAAGCGAGAAAAACATATATCTTCTTGCTATACACTTATAATTATGCAATATACATACATTTTAATTCGATTCAACCGTATGCAAAATAAATTATACAATTGCAGCGAAATAGGACAGCGAATTATACAATTTAGGCCAGCGAATTATGCAATTTAGGCCAGCGAATTATACAATTGTATATGTATAGCAAATTAAACAGTTTTATGTTTGCTATGTAGCGCAATTATGCAAAGTTTGCTATAGCATACAAATATGAATTTTTTGTTTGCTATATGTGAAAGTTGCCCTTATTAGTATATACTTTAATCTTAGAAAAACTATCTAATTAAAAAAAAAATCCTACTATAAAAACTTATTCACTCTATAATTTGAAATAATTACATATTGTCTAGAAATTAATAATTCCATATTTAGTTTCAAGACAGATAGACCACTCCTTTAGATTTCAAGTCAGATATATATGTACCAAAAGAAACATGTATCATTAAATCACACACAAATATATATAAAATAATCATATATATATATATATATATATATATATATATATATATATATATAATATATATATATATATATATAATACAAATATATATGAGGGAGACAAACAAGAGAGAAGAGACTTGAGCGAGAGAGTTAACATGTATATTTGATACCAAATACATTTTGAAATACAGATACACAAAAAGAGAGGCGAGTGAGGAGACATTATAGCCTAGATACATGTGAATCATGTTTAAATGCAGTGCATAATTATACCTATTTTGACTCACATGTATTTGAGGTATCTGTATCTTTCGAAATAAATATAGTATGAAAGGTAATTTCAAAAATTAAAGTGAAGGCATATAATACAATCCTAAACTAGTGAAATTTGTATTATTTGCTCTTTAATCTTTAGTACTAAAAGGTTGTTTTTTCAACTAAAATCATATGAGTATTTTATCGTATGATTAAATTTATATATATGTAAGATCTAATACGTATAAATATTTTTCAAATAATAATGTAATCTTGCTTCTAGACTTGTAGAATTTTTGAGTATTGGAACCTATAGTTCTAGTAACCAAATGGATTGTGTTTGTAATTTGTATGATTATTTTGAAGGGTAAATATTAGAGCAATTTTTTTCGTTTAGTTAGATGTATTTGTACAAAATAGTTAATTGAAAATCATACTTTTAGTGAAATTATTTAGGCCAAAATTTATCAAAGTACAAACAATTTGCTGATGTTGGCAGTGACAATGATTAGCATCATTAGGCACTATTTTGTATGCCACTGGAGAAATACCATTATGTCAATGGCTATATATTTATCATCAGAAGATCCATTATTTATTTATACTTTTCATGATTATCTTCTCAATCTTTTGGCACTCCATGGACTTTCTAATTCATCGATTATATTTTATTCCCCCGTCATTTTTACTTAGTTCAAGATTTTACGAATTTAAAAATAATGATAAATATTATATAAAATTAGGGTAAATATCCGGTTAAATTAATACATAATGGTGTATATTTGAGTTTGTATTAGTTTCATCAGATATAGGTCATTGAATTTTTTAAAAATATTGTATATTTAGGCGATTCAATTCAAATACATATTTTTAAAAATCTAATCTCGAGAAATAAATTACTTACGCAATTAATCTAATTTATGTTGTTTTTTCTCTCAGCTCATCTAGACCATATTTGCATCTACTAGGCTACTTTTTCTTGCACAAGAATATGGATATGTGTCGATTTTTACACTCAAACAGAAGAACAATAAGTTCTTTTTTTTAAGTGCAAAAAATAAACAATTTTTCTACTTTTGCTACAATTAAATTATTTATATTCAAATTCTATCGCTCTATCAGTTAAGATTTAAACTCATAAATTTATCACCTACATATGTCTAAATTTTTTATTTTCAAAGTTTAAACTCGAAAATTTTAATTAAAAATAAAAAATAATTAATTTTTCCATCACATATTTTGGTTGTAGTACTTGAGAATAATAATGAAGTTGATGGATTGTAGCCTAATACGAGGCAGTCATATCGTTAAAGAATAGTACATGTTCTTTATGTACTTTTAAAGGACAACAAATCCTTTTTATCCTCTCTTGGTGCCTTTAGGTATCAAAACTGAGGTCTTAATTAATCTTTACCTTTTTTAAACAAGAATTAAGAATAGTTATCGTTCTTCGGTTATTAATAAATTTAAATTTCAATTCTTGCGATATATAATCGACCACATTTAACTAATTAAAATATATATTCTGATAATCTTTGGTATACATCTGACTTATATTATTTGTTCTGTGTAGTAACTAACATCAGTATAACCTTAATATTAAGTAAAATGAACAATTAATAATCATAGTCAATATCAATTAATTTTTCGATTTTGTTTGAACACCTCTAATTCTATCCATGTCCAAGAAAAAAATATTTTTTTCATGTCAGTATCTTTTTAAGTAAAATGACTTACGTGGACAAAAAAAAAATTACGTTAAACTTGTACATATAACAATTGTTTTGCTTTGTTATTTATTTTTCAAAAAAAACAAACAAACTTTTTTTGAGGTTTTTAAGATTTGCAAACTTTCTTAGAATAGAATCATATTCTACTGGGAGTATATATAAAGCCCTAATTCCCTATAAAGATTAGCATTGCTACACTTTCTAATTTATAATTTGGTTTATCAATATTTATCTGCATATGACTGCAGCTGGAATCACTAAGCTTTCACAGAGATTACAACTAATTAGGTAATTAAAGTGTTGTTTAATTTCTTCTTCTCTCAATTGCCTTGCGTTATTAGTTACACGTACTCTTAAATTTATAGTAAATGTATAATTATTAATCATTCACAAATGCTAGCAGGATATATATCATACTTGAATTTCACAAATAGAGCCAAATATTACCAAAGTCTACTCGAATCGTTTTTCTTATTCAATCCGTCAACAAAAAATAAAAAAGTTTTAAGAATATATGGTGGAAATCATGTCCTTTTATACAATGGCAAAATTATGTTGGAGGTAGGTGAATAAATTTGTGATCTTTTCGTAAAATTAGATATTTTAGATATTCTCTTTTTCTTATTTTATGTGATATTTTTTTGAATTTCGAGATTCAAAGAAGTTGATCTTTGATCGTATAGATGTTTTATACATTTCGAAATTATCATTTATTGTGACTTATAATACTTTTTACGTAGTTTACAAATATATAGATTTCACTTCAAAAAAATTAAATATTTCATGCGCAAATTCTCGATCAAACTTAAAATATTTAATTCTCAAAAAATAACAAATGTCATATAAATATGAACAGAAGGAGTATATTTTTAAAAAAACTTAGCATAATATTATGCGTTGATATCCATAATATAAGATGGCTAAATGGTGTAGTTAGTTGGATGCATTGCCTCTACTCTTATGACATACTACTAGCAACTAAATAGTTAAAATTGTTTGATGTAGATCACAAAAAATATATCAAATTAAACGCGTGATGAGTACGTTTTCAAATATTGATGACAGAGCTGAAACACGAAAGAACTCTAAGGAGGAAGAGATAAAGAAAGAGGAGTGGTGGGTGCCACATCCTCGAACAGGAATATATTTTCCAATAGGGCAAGAAAGAGTAATGAATGATATACCAAATGGTGCAGCCTCTCTTCCCCAGAATTATTGGTTAAGGAATGAAGATGGTGTTGAAAAACCCGACCCGGATTCTCCTATTGCCTATAAACATTACTATTAGTTCTTAAGTACTTATTAGATAATAAAATAAAAGACTATGGATCTTCCAAAAATAACTAGTAATCTTATATATATGATATTAATGTTATATATATAGTTGTAATGTAATGTAATAATAACATACGTTGCGAAATAATAATGTATTACTATAACATATGGTTTATTATATATTCAGGCATGTTGGAAAAAAAGAGAAAAAAAAAGGGACAAGAGTGATGTCTTATGTTAAAAAAGATGTAAATAGTTTTAATTTTCAAGTTTGTTGAAAATTAATAAATAGTAATATTTTTTCCTCCGTAGTCTTTATCAAATCTAAGAATCAAAATTCGACAATATTTGTTAGAGACTAAAATTATGAATTTTTTATATTTTATAAATTTTTTTTATAGTTTTAAAATATTTATTTTTTTTATTTAAAATATCAAATTAATATAATCTAATTTTATTTTGAAAATAATCAAATTGACTTGATAAATAAAAGTAGATGGTGGAGTATTTGATTAAGAGATTATTTTAAACTTACCTTTAAGTACAAGAGGCCATTTTTTGTTTTTTCTCGTTAACTAAACACTATAATTTATACGACAATGATCATGATAATATATGATGCCAATTTGATAAATTTAAAATAATCAAATTCTAATACTTTAATTAACATTAGTAGGAATTAGAAAATCGAAATAAATAAAATACAACATATAGAATTAGAGAATTTCTAAAAACTAGGGTTTTGGTCTTAAACCCCAAACAGAACACTATCACTGATGCTTCCACCATTAAACCCTCTCTACCCTTTTCGCCCTCAAACTTTGGCTTCGAACCCAAAACAGAACACTATCACTCCTGTAACAAGGTATGTTTTCTGGTATGATAAAAATTTGTGGAGAAAGATTTAATTTTTATTTCAAAGTTTTTATTTTTTGACACGCAAAACAGGCGTATAAGCCATTATTGCTTCTTTTTATGCAATTTTTTTTTGTGGGTATGTTATTGTAGACTCTGTTTTTTTCTTGGGCATATATTTTACCATATCTTATTCATTGCAGAAGCAGAGTTTGGCAATGGCAGCATCTGCTTGAGACATTGCTGCAACAGAGTTCTTACAAGTATGATCACTATTTTATTGTTTTGAATATGTTCTGTTTAATGATGTTTAGAAAATTGTTTTTTAAATATGCTTTATTTACATTGCAGGGTTTTCATAGACAAAAGTTAGCATTGCCCAGACATTCTAGTAGGCAGACAAATCGTTTGCTTTGGGGGTACACTTCCAAGATTGAGCCCTATTCCATATTCACGTAAAAATTTGAGATTAAGGTCCCATATTCCAGCGAAGATTAGAGCTGTTGTTTCTAAGGATGTCAGTAGCTTGGTAAATGAAGATTCAGGCGAATTTCAGGAGGTTGCTGAAAAGGTGATACATGTATATGGCATTCCGTTTCAACAGGACAGTGCCACTGCTGAGCTTCTCAAATTGGTTCAGACAAAGATATCAAATCAAATAATTGGCTTGAAAACTGAACAGTACCTTAACATTGGACTTAGTTCAGATATTTGAGGTGATAAACTTTCTGTGCTTAAATGGGTTTTAGGAGAAACTTATGAACCTGAGAGATTGGGAAGTGAGAGTTTCCTTGATGGGGAGAAGAGAACAAGTGTGGATGCATATATCATTGAAGTTGGTCCACGGTTATCTTTCACTACAGCGTGGTCTGCTAATGCAGTGTCGATTTGTCAAGCATGCGGGTTAACAGAGATAAATAGAATGGAGCGTTAGAGGAGGTACTTATTATATGTCAATGAGTCACTTCTGGATAGTCATAGTAATGCATTTGCTTCGATGGTTCATGATCGGATGACTGAGTGTGTATATGCTGAGAAGCTTTCCTCTTTCAAGACAAGTATAGTTCCGGAGGAGGTTCGATATATACCTATCATGGAAAAGGGTCGTAAGGCATTGGAGGAAATTAATGAGAAAATGGGCTTGGCCTTTGATGAGCAAGACTTAAAGTACTACACCAAACTTTTCAGGGACGACATTAAACGAAACCCAACTAATGTAGAACTATTTGATATTGCTCAATCTAATAGTGAACACAGTAGGCACTGGTTCTTTACTGGAAAACTTGTACTAGATGGTCACCCTGTGGATAAGACTCTTATGCAGATCGTCAAAAGCACTTTACTTACGAATCCAAACAATTCGGTTATTGGTTTCAAAGATAATTCCAGCGCTATCAAGGGATTTCCAGTGAAACAATTGCGCCCTACTCAGCCTGGCTCGACATGCTCGTTGGACGTGACTGACAGATTCCTTGATATCTTGTTTACTGCAGAAACCCACAATTTTCCTTGTGCTGTGACACCTTATCCTGGAGCTGAGACAGGTGCAGGCGGACGTATCCGAGATACCCATGCTACTGGAAGGGGTTCTATTGTTGTTGCATCTACATCTGGATATTGTGTTGGGAATCTTAATCTTGAAGAGTCATATGCTCCTTGGGAAGATTGTTCTTTCACATACCCAGTAAATTTGGCATCACCACTGCAGATCCTTATTGATGCTAGTAATGGAGCGTCAGATTATGGAAATAAATTTGGGGAGCCCTTGATCCAGGGTTATACTCGAAATTTTGGAATGAGACTGCCAAGTGGTGAGAGAAGGGAATGGTTGAAGCCAATCATGTTTAGTGCTGGCATTGGGCAAATAGATCACCTTCACATATCGAAGGGAGAACCCGAGATTGGTATGTTGGTAGTTTAGATTGGAGGACCTGCATATCACATTGGAATGGGAGGCGGTGCTGCATCCAGCATGGTCAGTGGACAGAATGATACCGAGCTTGACTTCAATGCCGTGCAGCGTGGAGATGCTGAGATGGCACAGAAGTTATATCGGGTTGTTCGGGCTTGCGTTGAAATTGGTGAAGACTACCCCATTATTAGTATTCATGATCAGGGTGCTGGTGGAAACTGTAATGTCGTGAAGGAGATAATAAACCCAGAGGGTGCCAAAATTGATATAAGGGCAATTGTAATTGGTGACCACACTATGTCTGTTCTTGAAATTTGGGGTGCAGAGTATCAGGACCCTGAAAGTCGCGGTCTTTTGCAAGCTATTTGTGCAAGGGAAAGAGTTCCCATGGCTGTTATTGGAACAATTAATGGGGAGGGGCGTATTGCTCTGCAGGATAGTGGGGCAATTGAAAAATGCAGGTCTGGTGAACTGCCTCCTCCTCCGCCTGCAGTTGATCTTGAGCTTGAGAAGGTTCTTGGTGATATGCCTAAAAAAACATTTGAATTAAATCGCATGAATACTCTGCGTGAGCCACTTGATATTGCCTGCAACAACAGTTTTAGACTCACTGAAGAGAGTCTTGAGGCTTCCCTCTGTTTGTTCAAAAAGGTTCTTAACCACTAAAGTTGACAGATGCGTCACAGGCCTTGTCACACAGCAGCAAATTGTGGGTCCCTTGCAGATTCCTCTTGCTGATGTTGCTGTAATAGCTCAAACTTATACAGGCTTAACTGGAGGTGCATGCTCAATTGGGGAGCAGCCAATAAAAGGTCTTTTGGATCCAAAAGCAATGGCACGGTTGGCTGTCGGAGAAGCACTCACCAATCTAGTTTGGGCGAAAGTTACATCTCTTTCTGATGTTAAAGCAAGTGGGAATTGGATGTATGCTGCAAAGCTAGATGGCGAAGGCGCTGCAATGTATGATGCTGCTGTTGCTCTTTCTGAAGCTATGATTGAACTTGGAATTGCAATTGATGGGGGGAAAGATAGTCTTTCCATGGCAGCCCAAGCATCCGGGGAAGTTGTTAAAGCTCCAGGGAATCTAGTCATCAGTACTTATGTGACATGTCCTGATATAACTAAGACGGTTATGCCAGACTTGAAGCTTGGTGATGATGGTGTACTGCTTCACATTGACTTGGCCAAAGGGAAACGACGACTTGGTGGATCTGCTCTTGCCTAGGTTTTTGATTAAATTGGGGATGAAAGTCCTGATGTGGATGACGTCTGTTATCTTTAAACTGTTTTTAATGAGGTTCAGAATCTAATCTCTGATGAGCTGATATCTGCCGGTCATGATATCAGTGATGGGGGACTTATTGTGGCTGCCCTTGAAATGAAATTTGCAGGGAACTGTGGCATTAATTTAGATTTAGTTTCTTCGGGGAGTAGTGTACCCCAAACACTTTTTGCAGAGGAGCTTGGCCTTCTCATTGAAGTTAGCCGGAAGAACTTGGATTTAGTTCTGGAAAAGCTCCGCCTTGGTGCTGTTTCAGCTGATATCATTGGTCATGTTAATTCATCTCCAATAGTTGAATTGAGGGTTGACGGGGTTACACATTTGAATGAGAAAACTCCTGTGCTCAGGGATATGTGGGAAGATACCAGCTTTCAACTGGAAAAGTTCCAAAGACTGGCTTCATGTGTGGAATTAGAAAAAGAAGGATTGAAAAATCGGCATGAACCATCCTGGAAACCATCCTTCACACCAAAATTTACTGATAACAAGTACATGACTGCCAGTTCAAAGCCAAAAGTTGCAGTTATCCGTGAAGAAGGCAGCAATGGTGATAGAGAAATGGCTGCAGCTTTTTATGCTGCTGGATTTGAACCATGGGATGTTGCAATGTCGGACCTTCTCATGGAGATATCAAGCTTAATGAATTTAGAGGAATTGTATTTCTTGGAGGTTTTAGTTATGCTGACGTACTTGATTCTGCGAAAGGCCGGGCAGCGTCCATTCGCTTTAATCAGCCTCTTTTAAACCAATTTCACGCATTTTATAACCGTCCTGACACTTTCAGCCTTGGAGTTTGCAATGGTTGCCAACTTATGGCTCTGTTGGGTTGGGTTCCAGGGCACCAAATGGGAGATGTTTTGGGTGCTGGCGGGGACCCATCACACCCAAGGTTTGTACATAATGAGTCAGGAAGGTTTGAGTGCCATTTCACGAGTGTGACAATAGAAGAATCACCATCCATAATGTTCAAAGGTATGGAAGGTAGTACACAGGGTGTTTGGGCTGCTCATGGTGAAGGAAGAGCTTATTTCCCTGATGAGAGCGTTTTCAATCATATTCTTGGCTCAACCTTGGCACCAGTGAAATATTGTGATGATGATGGAAGACCAACAGATGTATATCCTTTCAATCTTAATGGCTCTCCCTTGGGTGTGGCAGCAATTTGTTCTCCGGATGGCAGATATCTTGCATTGATGCCTCATCCTGAACGCTGTTTCTTGATATGGCAGTTTCCATGGTATCCCAAGAATTGGGATGTGGAAAATAAGGGTCCAAGCCCCTGGTTGCGGATGTTTCAAAATGCCAGAGAATGGTGCTCATGAGCTAACTATTTTTTCATCTTCCTGTCGCTATTGGCAAATAAGTTCATGTTTTCGTGTAAATGCTTTAGTTTTCATACTCCATTATGTGTTGAGTGCACC